GGCGGCGGGAGCGCGGGGTCAGCGCGGGGCGCAGCAGCGCAGCGGGTGCCGGGCTGCGGCCGCTGCCGCCTCTCATGCCTGCGCGGCAACAAAGAGCGCGCTGAACGGCAGGCGGAGGCGCCGGGCCCCGGCTGTGCAGGCGCGGGGGGCGCCGCAAGACCATGGCGAGGAAGGGAGACGCTTCCACGTCGCCCTTCGGTAAGCGCCGCGCCGGCGGAGGAGGCATCGGCGCCCCTGCTCTYCCCGGGCCTGGCTGTTCCGCGGTGCGCGCGGCTGCCCGCGTTTGCCCCGTGGGGGGAGGGATGCCGGCGGCGGGCAGGGCCCTGGGCTGCCGCGCGCGGGCTGCGGGGAGGGCTGCACTGCCCGCAGCCATGGGGGCCGGCGGCGCCCGCCGTGAGCAGGTGAGTTACCCGCGCCGCGTCCGCGCCTGCCCGCGGGAGGGCTGCGGAGGGCGCCGCGGGCGGCAGGTGCGCGCGAGGGAGGGCCGCCCCCTGGGGCGCGCGGGGCYGTTGGGGCCGTTAAGGCCGTTGGCGGCGCGAGTCTCGGGCTGGCTCGGCGGGGACGGTGCCCGCGGGGTGCTGGAGGCGGCACCGCCTCCCGTGGCCCCCACGTAGCTCATTCGTTGGCGGCCGTAGTGACCCGTTAGTGGGGCTCGTTTAAGGGTGTCACTGTGAAACTGACTGCGGTTTTCCAAATGTGCGTGAGATTTCCACGCGAAAAACATCTCCCTTTAATCTGCAAAATAAACAAAAATGACAAGCTCCATAGAAACAAGCCCCCCCCCTTTTTTTTCATCCTGAAAGGCCGTGTGTAATTGGCTAAGTTGTAAAGATGAGCATCAGTGGCTTGATAAAACTGTATCTGCTGTGACATCCTGGGCATGTTGAGTACCAAAGCTCACTTTACCACTCACCTCTGCTGTGAGCGGAAGCCTGATCTGTCCGAAGGAAGGTTGGCGATTTGTTACCAACACTTACGACAAAGCTGAGCTTTCATTCGTGAAAGTATGGAGCATGTAGAACAGAACCTGATCATTCTGTAGGGTACATCCTGTGGTAACAGGCAGTGCTAAGGACTGCAGAATCAGGGTGTCCAAAATGGGGAGATTTTTCACAAAACAAGAGAGAAAGGGAAAGAGAAAGAAAAAAGCCATTAGGGAGGGGGCAAAAATAGAAATTGGAGTGTTCCAAGGGAGAAATTAAACTAATTCCAAAATACTAAATCAATAGTTAGTTAACATCTCAGAAGACCCGTTCCTGTGCTCCTGGAGGTCAAATGTTTTTGAAGCTGACTTCAGTAGGATGAAGCCCATAGATATTCAGCACTGAGCACAGAAAGATGGGCTCTCTCAAGAGGGGGAATATGTATTTAGGAATGGAAAACATCTCTGGAATAGAATTCAATAAGTGCTACACACTCTTCCTCACTTGGCATTTAGGAACAGGAACACTGTGGTATGAAAATCATGGGAAAATACTGAGTGAGTGTCATATTGTTATAACACAATAGAGATTTACCTGTGTTTTTCAGAACAAGCTCCTAAGAAAGAAAAGGTGATCTTTTAGTTAGTAGTTTTTAGATTTAGAGGAAGAGGATAATGTCTCCATATGTCAGCTTACAGTTCTGAAGAATTACACTGACTGTGTGCTTCTGACTTTCTTTTCTCCTTTTGCATAAGTTGACTATTGTTACTGTAATAGTCATTCTCATTACTGTTTTTTTGCATACCAGTAGCTTGCTGTTACCTTGTAGGTATATTCCTCAGAGGTATGGGCATCTTCCGCTTGGGACATCAAAGATTCTTCAGAGCTTCAGAATTTATAAATGACAAAACAAAATTCTTAAAAATTTTGTTTTGTCGACATGCGGTATCAATTTGATTCTTTAAGAGAGATCCCAAGTCAAACCCATGGCTGACAGCTGATGTTAGGCTTGGCTGCCTCGGATCTCTCCTTGTGGTAACTGGACTCTTGTGAGAGTGTTGGTCATTAGGTTTGGGCTAGCTGCTGGCCGCCTCTGGTCCCAGGTAGGGTGGCTGACTGCTGGTGCGAACCTGTGGCTGGGTAAGTGGCTTCGAGGCAGGCGTGGGAGGCCGGGTCCTCCGAGCGCTCCCGCAGCGACCTTGCTTCTCTGCATGAGCGGGTGGGAGGATTCGTAAGCTGCTTGGAAACAGCTTCTCAGCAGCTCTGCAAATCCAGGCCATGTGGTTCAATCTCTGTAAGGAAGCTATGAGCTGTCCTAATGGATAGCTGTCCTAATGCCCTAATTTCTTAGAAGGAAATGCATTGGTGTTTTTTGTTTCTTTTCTTTTTGTTTGTTTTGCTTTGCTTTGCTTCTATCCATTGAAAATGGGTTAAATACAAAGGATTTCCTAAGAATTTCCTAACAATTAAAAACAGTGATACTGACCTTATYGTGGCCTGTTTCTCCAGCAGAGAATTTCTCACTGGGGAAAAGAAAAAGTTCTTTTAGCTGCTGACCTTCAGAAGAAGAATTCTTAAGTGAAGTTACTTTTTCTTCATTTTAGATCTGCTCAACAGGAAGACTATTGCTGAAGTGAAGGATTCAAATTACTTATTACTTGATTTTCTCATTTTGGCTGATTTTTGAGATTTTGTGTTCTTTAATCAAAGTAATATTTTCTTCTATCTGCAATATTCAGAGTTGTCATTTGACTGTTGAAATCAATTACTTTTGACTTTATTGCAGAATCAGTCTTGTAGCGGTGACGTGTGTGTTTCTGCTATGAGTAATTTGTACAGTTGTAAACTGTGGTTCAGCTGTTAGTTTACAAATCACTGAAGTCTAAATGAAAAATAACTGGTTTTAGGAAAGCTTTTATCACTTTTAATAAATGGCGTCACTGAGAGAAAATATATAAAAGACTGTTTTTTATTACTTTCAACTCTAGCTTAATTTACTTTTGTGTATCTGCAGATCTAGATCTTCTCTAGAATTACTGTTTGAGTGTGGATTTCACTTGCTAAGTGAATTCAGATGGTCTTTCAATATATAATTGAGATTCCTCGTTACTGATGAAAGGAGGTTATGTCAGTATTGAAATAAATACCTACTTGATAACTGAATCATTGGTTTTGCACTTGCAGGTTGCTTCTCTGTTTCTGCCTGTAGTTTTCTTTCTGAAGAAAACTGGAGCAGACACCATTGTTTAAAAAGATGGGCCTGCGTATGGGCTTGCAGACTGCTGTGGGACTCCCTCAATCATTTAATGGCCACAGTTCAATGTATTTATTGCTATTTTTTACTTTTTTTTTTAAATAAAAAGTCTGTTGGTTTCTTTTCCCAAATGAAGGAGATTCTTTTGTTTCCCTATAGAATAGTTTTTCATAAATTGAGAAATTTTACTAGCAAGATTTGTTATTTCTTGTAATTCAGGGCCCATTTTCAATTTACTAATTTCATGCCATGACACTTAAGTGTCACCAGTTAAGAAGAAAAATATCCTCTGCCCAAGGAGAGTGAGCTGTTGAGTCATGGCAGTGTCATGCTACATGGAAGCTATGGGCTGCCCTACAGCCGCTGTTTGTAAATCCTCGTGTGTCTAAGTAACAGACTGTGCCTTCTGAGACTGGAATTTCATACCAGTGAGACAATCAGTTTAAAGATGAAATTTATTTCACTTTATGCAGCACTTTATTCAGACTTGAATACACTCAGGTGTGTTAAGTTGTGTGAAACTCAGTTGATTTAAACCTTTCTTTCTCTGATATAAATTTCGTCCGCTTCAGGTTTTGTGGTCTCTAGGCCGAGCTGATGTGCCCAAATACAAACAGAGCACTGTCTGAATTTGCAAACCTACTCATTTTAKATGGAAAAGGTCACTGTGGAATAAACTTAGAGTCGTGAGAAAAATGGGTCCGAATTTTAAAAGCAGCCATTTGTAGCATGTTTCCTATAGTTTAAAGTATTACTGTAAAATTTAAGGGAGAACCTCTTCTCTTAGTATACTGCTTTGTCTTTTGCTCAATTCTGTGGTGAAGTATCAATCCTGCATATGTTGACAATTCATTTCTTCTTACTGTGGAAGTAAATTTAGACATTTAAAATTCACTGAAAGATGAACATATATGGATTTTGAATGAGCTAATCCTTTTTTCAGTGTTATTTCTATTAATAAAAACAGTTGGAAGATCATAGAAACACATGAAATATAACTAGGACAACATAATTTTTATACTTCATAAGATAATTTTTAGAGTTGTTAAAGCTTTTTGGTGAATGCATAAAATATTAGCCTTACAAACTGCAGTGCATTTCTTATTTCTGAATAAACTCCCTGAGTGTCTACAGTGTAATAAGTACTTTATTTCCAACTATAGCATCATAATTGTTCAACTGAAGCTCTCCCAGCTTGTCCAATTATAGCTTTCTAACTTGTCCAAATTACACAACCAATTCCTTGTGAGTCTCTGAAGAATGAAATAACCATTATAGAAAAAGATACCAGATCTAGAGGACCGAAGTATTTTGATGAGTGTAAGACAACCTTCAGTGCTTCCACAACCACATTTCTAGTGTCCATAAAGCAGCTACTAGTGAATTACACCTATTTCCATCATGTCAGTATTTGTATGCCACATACCTATCTCTAACAAGCAGCTGTTGTCCCTGGTGCTTTAGATGACCAAAATTCTTATACAGTCTGTATAGTCTCTAACTTTCCCAGGTGGTAATTACATGAAGGAGAAGGCAGTGTTTTGACTCTAAACTGTAATCAGATCCTGAAAAAAGTAGGTAATTCAGTTGAATTTGATCCTCTGTTCCAAGTTTCCCCACTAGAAAATGAAYTCCACAAGCCCCACAGCTGAGGGAGCCTGGACTACCAAGCTCCTGGCTTGTGGTGGATAGACTTGGCTGTCAAAGAGTCTGGAAGCTCTGCTTTTCTGGAGACAGTTATACAGCAATCTACTACCCCTCCCAAATCTTTGATTCATTGCTGTCTATTGCAGTAGCTCAACCTTATTCTCCAGGCATCTGCAGGATATTCTTTCTCTATCTCCTACCTGTTTTTGTAAAATATGCAATTATATGTGAGATAGCCACTGTTTTGTCAGGTTTAATGCAAGCTGATACTGGAATCTTAAGCTATTGGGGAGTATAAATCAAATGCAGAAGATTATGTAAAACATACTGTAGRGATATTGAAAAACAAATTTAATAAACACAGTACTTAAAAT